TATAGTAAATATATTCTGAAAATCCTTGAAAATATTTAGCCAATTTTAACGTAAAATTGACACTTTTTTAGTAATATCTGAAAATTTACATACCGGTAATATACCCACATTTTTGATGTTCTTTTCTAAATATTCAAGATATATTTGACCTATTTGCTTAAAATCAGAAAAAGTTTAAGACTTTAAAATAATTTTCTTGCTCATTAAATTTTCAATGCCAGAAAAATCACCTTGTATTAGTGCAGAAAGGTCAAATAATTGATTATGCGAAGCAATTTGAAACTTTTTCTTAGTCACAATTTTTAAGTGTCTTTTTTTAAACAAACTTAGTGTTCATTTTGTTTCATGCTTCCAATGGATAAAAATATTGGAGGGGAAAATGTCAAATATTTGAATTTTAATTAAGACACAAATTTCAGTGCAAAAAGGTCATATTAAATGTACTGTAGCGCCAAAAGAAGCGTTTTGACCCCTATTTTTTGATTTGAATTTTAATTAAGCTATGTATGTAGAAACTAAAATAATACTTGGCAAAAAAAGCTTAAGACTTTAAATATCAGGATCGAACGTCGTTAAAGAAGCTTTATGTAATTTATATCTGCTAAAAACACAAGGACCACAATGTTCATCTTATCCTGTTACATAAAGCATATTATGATCATACAGGTTTTAATTTTGAAATAAAACCAAAATTAGATTAAACATGGGCATAGATTTTCATCAATTGAATGTGTAATAAATTGAAAAATATATAAATGTATACAATATAAACCTTTCTCTATTATATTAACTTGGTTTGAGAACAAAGAACAAATATCAACTCACTGTATAGCATTATCGGTGGTCCTCAGAAAGAGCTCGCGGTTCACTTTATCCAAAATAAGGCCCTGTCGATACATCAATTTATTGACTAACACGTTTTGTTATACCTTTACAAAATTGTTCCTATACAAATCTATACAAAATAGTCCAACAAATCTAATGGTTTGCTGAGTGGGCAAAAAAAAAATCGATGTTGGACCGCTGAGTAAGATGTTGGACCGCGGTTGATGAGATGTAAGACCGCTTATGTCATATAATGGGCGGAGCTTAATCTCATTTTCATTTGTAAGTGTTTAATAGTGACGAATCCGAGTTTACATCACGGAATACGGTTTAAAATACAGGTTTGAGAAGAAAGAATTAAAATGAAAGGTATAACAAAACATTTATTGACGGAGTTCCCGGGCAAAATGCGTTTTGTAGACCCTCGAACCAAACTGTCTGCCTTCGGCCTAACGGCCTCAGGCAGACAGTTTGGTTCCGACAAAACGCATGTTGCCCAAAAACTCAATCAATAAATGTATAATGTTCCATTTTAAATATCAAATTAAAATAGAGACTTGCCCCTGCGAAATGATATTCATGATTTTAAGAACCTTTATGAGTTGTTCATAATTGTTCATGAATGGTTCTTAAAGGATTCTTAACAGGTTCATAAAAGTAGTTCATGAATAAAATTCATGAAAACATTCATAATTCATAGTTCATGAACAAATGATGAACAAATATGAATATTGGTAATTTTCAGTTTAAAGAAAAAAACTTAATAGTTCAAGGTAATGAATGTTCATGAATTTTCATGAAGACAAAAAATGTAAAAATAATTGTCACAAACGATCGCCAGAAAATACTCATTACTCCCATAATACAACTTTTGCATGCAGATGCAATTGTTGAACAAGCCCCTGATTTAATTAATAACATGCTTTTGTTTTGATTTTGAAAATATGGGATCAGAGCCGAGTAGGGGAACATAAGAGGTTAAAATCACTATTTTTTACTCTATGTAATTGATAACTTAGATTCTTCAGGATAATATAACTCTGTTATGAACTGTCTAGAAGGGAGATTGTAATTAAATTATAATCGTAATTTAAAGATCACTGCATCAATATTGAAGGCATTTTTTTTCTCATATTGAATTGCTAATGTTTCTTCATCATTTAAATTGTCCAGCTATATTAATATTGTGCTTTAAATTATCTCATTTTTCACGACACAATTTTATTCGACCGAATTTTCTCTATCTGTCAAACTTTTAACAAGTTGTAAGAAAATGAAACAGACTTACAGTATAGGAAAAATTTCATAATCTTTGTAAAACGTATCATAAATTTATTGACAATTAAAAAACTATATCTCTTGTCCGTATTGTACCGTACCATTCTTGGGTCGAAACGCTTTATATTTTGATGCAGTTATAAAGTCACATCTTTCTGTCCATCGTGTGTAAATGATACAGCAAAGGCTGCATGGTTGTGAAGAAGCTATGACATGAACCACATTCGTATTTTGTAGTCTATTCTCCTATACACTTTCATAGCTCAGGGTACTCAGTTTGAGGGCGAGTGGTTCCAAGAGATATTTGTTGTCCTCTGATATGGAGGCGGCCATACTTGAATACGAAACTAATGGCTGTATAGGTATAATGTAAAAAAAAATCTAATTCAATAAATGATATAACTTAAATTAATTTTTAAAAATTAATTTCAATGAAAAACCATTCAGATAGTGTTTGTTATTTTTTGTTTAACAAAAATCTTGGCAATTCGAAACTATTTCTTAATTAGCTCTGCATGACACTTTTTAAAAGGCGCAAACTTTGAAACGCGCGAGACGTTGGAAAGTGAATCGGTAGAGTGGGAGGATTATTAGCGTAGATCTAGTCATTCTTTGTCAACATTTGAAGAAAATAACGGAATACGAAGAAGGAATATCCAGAGGATCAATTTACTTCATAACTGCAGATATTAGTGGTGAGTTACAAAAAAATGGAGGCAATCGCTGAATCTGAGATATTTGTCAAGATGTTACTGTCTATTTGTAAGAGTTCAGTTATGTCCTTTTGAATGAAAATTTTGTCAAACTTTGTTACGAGTAAGGATCCAACCAAATTATGTTACATTCAATAATTAAAGATTGAAACATTCATCCTGTTCACCTATAACATCTTGAACATGGCGGGCAAGGGAAACAGGCTAAACTCCCGCTCGGAATGCTTTAAAATATGGCAGTGCCTATGATGCAGAATTAAATGAAACAAATATGCAAAAAAAAACCAAACAATTAAGTCTTAAGTTTTCACATTTATGAGCATTTTCAGAAAATCTTTGTTCTTGTAGGGAAAAGAGAAGCAGTTCATGTGAACAGATAATGTTGATGAGTTGAGATCAGAAGATTAAAAAACTCTGGCTGCCAAAAAAAAAGAATATAAAAAATCCAGGCTCTTGAAGAAAAACAGAAGAAAGGAATGAAAATATGAATCGTAATCGATCAAAGGATCCAAGTGATGAAATTTTGAAAATTCCACAGGGAAAGCCAATAAGATTTTTTTATTTGACCACCTCTGCTCAAAATCCTTGAAAGCCCTTTTAGCTGATGCCCTAATTGCTGAACACACTTTTCTGCCAGACAGTGAGACTTGGATTAAAAATCATTCCATTTTAGGCAAAAACTTTGAAATACGCTGAATAAGGAACCCACTCTCCTGTTGACCAAGTAAGGTTAAGCATTCTGCAAAGAGTCGCGTTTGAAATGAAATTTTTCATAATTTTACTAGGAATGAACTACATAATTTATTTATTAATTATCGTTATCACTTATCAGAGTTGTTTACTTAAACGAAGATTTTGTTACCATGATTGGGAAACAAAAATTCTGTGAAATTTATCTTTCAAGATGCTATTAAAATATTTTCTTTTTACAGTTTTTCATTTTGCATAACTTATTACATTTTTGTTTACAAAAAGCAAGAACATTCATGAATAGTTCATGAACATTCCTAAATAACTTTTACAAATTATTCATGAATAGTTCATGAAAATGCATTGAACCAGTATTAATATCATTCATGAACTTTTCTTGAAAGTTCAAGAATATAATTCATGAACTTTTCTTGAAAGTTCAAGAAGTATTCTTGATCATTTTGCAGGCATTTAAAAAATCCAAGTTTGTTCATGAACAACAAATAATTCTTGAATATTCTTGAACTTTGTTTTCATGAATAAAATCCATGAAATCATGAGTGTCCAATTTTCACTTCATGGGATCTTCATGAACAATTCATGAGCTGATTCAAGAATATAATTCATGAACTTTTCTTAAAAGTTCAAGAATTATCCTTGATCATTTCGCAGGGGTGGTACTTTCATTTCCAATTCAATTTTTTTCCTTTAAACTTAAGCTTAAGGTGGTTCATGATCCAGGGGCCAGGTCTTGAAATATAGGCTTCAAGGAATTTCAATGTTCTTGAATTTAAATGCAAACAGTTCTATTTGAGTACTTTCAGAGAAGAAAAATATGAGCACACCCTCTGATCTAAAAGAATTAATCCTCTGTAAAGTTCTATCATTTTAAGCTGATAATTTTAGATCTGGGGTTGTGCTCTATTTTAAATATTGCGAAATATTTTTTTTAAAAAAATGGCTGTTTTGTAGACTTTCTCAGTATAGGAGGAATTGACGTATTTTGTGACGTCAAAATGCATTGACTAGGCAGAAAATTAAATCATTTTTGATAGACTTGCAATCACCAATTGAAGGTCTAAATGATATTTTTAAAATAGATAAAGTTATAAAGCATCATTAAAGGAATTTATTTCTTAAATTTGAGATTGCCGTAGACACTTTTCATTTACTACATGTATATATATTGAACTTAAAGTAATTCAAGTGAATTTTAGGTGAAATAAAAGGAATTTGATAAAAACATGCCAAAGGTTAGAGAGGCATGTGGAGGATGCTTCATCGGGGAGGTGCTACAACGTTCTGTGAAACATTACTAGGCGCAAAATGTGGAGCAACTAACTACTAGAGAAAACAAATTATGAAAATACAACGTGTTTCAATAAATAGTTAAAGGATCGGTTTCAACTGAATTTGTGATATAGTTTGGCTCAGTTTTATACTACTGAGACTAGTCAAAATTTCAACGTTTTAAAGGTACAATGTATCTCATACCTGGAATACATTTTCCAAAACGGCAATAATCTCCTAGGTTAGGACACGGCTTATACTATTTTACAAAGAAAACAAATCTCATTCAAAAGGAATACAAGTAATATGAAAATCGTTTTGACAAAAAACACCATTTAAATTTTTATTTGTGATTCAAAGATTTTTTTTTTTAAATATGAAAGTACAAATGTATGTTAAGATTAATTTTTAGTTACCGGTATGAAGGAACATTCCCGATGACCTGAAATGAAAGAAAACGGTTACTGCTTATGAATAGAAGACACTTAATTAGTGATAAAGACAAGATTTGTTTAAAAAAATATAATTCTACTAGGGAAAACAATCTATGAATATAACGTGTTTCAATAAATAGCTAAAGGATCGGTTTTAACTGAATTTGCGATAAAGTTGGCTCAGTTTTATACTAGTGAAAGTTTTAAAGTTACAATATATCTCATACCTGGAATACATTTTCCATTTTGACAATAATCTCCTGGTTTAGGACACGGCCTATACTATTTTACAAAGAAAACAAATCTCATTCAAAAGGAATACAAGTAATAGGAAAATCGTTTTGAGAAATAAAACACCATTTAAATATTCATTTGCGATTCAAAGATCTTTACTCCTTTTAAAATATGAAAGTACAAATGTATGTTGAGATTAATTAATAGTTACCGGTATGAAGGAACATTCCCGATGACCTGAAATGAAAAAAAAACTGCTACTGCTTATGAATAAAAGATACTTATTAGTAATAAAGACAAGATTTGTTTAAAAATATAATTCTAAAGTAAATACTAGATGCTGTCATGAGACAGTAATACCCGCACTAAGGTGTTTGCCTCTAAATACACAATCCTACGGGCGGCTTACCAAGGAAAAAGTCAAAATAATTCTATATAATTCAGGCACGTAGCATCGTTTTTGAAAGTGGGGGGGGGGGGCAACCTGAGAAAAATTTTTTTACTAACCTAAAAAAATTAACAAGGAAAAAAAATGAAATGGGGGGTGGGGGTGGGGGTGGGGGGGGGGGTGGTGGCCCCTTTTTTTCAAGGCAAAATTACTTTCACTTCCAATTTTTTCCATATTTCCTTGCAATGTATATACTGTGGTTAAAAGTGGGGGGAGGGGGCAACCATCTTTTTAATGGACATTTTCTTATAGTACAGGTAATGTTGGGAAAAAAAGGGGCAGCCCCCCCAAGCCCCCCCCCCCCCCCCCCCGGTTGCTACGTGTCTGTAATTTACATATGTATTCATAAAATTGGGTATGAAATTATCCCTGTGACCTATAACTCAGAACCTCTTATATTTATTTTACATGCTTAATTCATTATATACCAGTTTGAATTCTATTAATAATGTAAATTAGATTTTGATAAATGTTTTGCTCATATTAGGACCTTTTTAAATTTACTAACAACCCCCCCCCCCCCCCTCTCGACACCACAATCACACAGTACATACTTTTGGGAATAGGCTAGACGGAACAGTTTTGATAAAACAGTGTTTGTTATGAATTAATTTAAAATTTGTTCTTGACATGTAAATTCTACATCACATCACGTTGCGTCACCCATTATCATATTTTTAGATTAAACTCCATTCGGTACACCTCGGCCGATTCCCACTTCAACTGATAAGGTGACGGAATCGACGGCACGGAGGTTTTCCGAATGGAATATCATTATAACATGCTGCAGAATGATGTGCTTTGGATTAATTCATTTTGTGTTATAATTGGATTTATATTTCATGAAGTTTACAGGACCTATGGAGGTCGGTAAGTACAAGTTTAAGTATAGTGGGGGTAAAATAAACCCAAACGATTAGGTTAAAGTTCAAAAAGGGTAAAAGATCATCGCATGCCACACTAGACGAATGTCATATTGTGAAGTTATCTCCCCTTGTCGATGTGACATTCAGTTACTGCCAATACTGGTGCGGATCCAGAATTTTTTTCGGGAGTAGGGAGGGGGGTTCACATCTCAGTCAAAATATTCATGCCTAGAATTTCCTGACAAGCAGGAGAAAAAAATCATACACTGAAAACAAATAAACAAAAAAACCCCCAATGTTTTCTTAGTTAGGGGGAGGATGTCCAAAATCATTTTTTATTTGCTTCAGTATATAGTCTTGTTTAAATAACAAAGGAAATTCCAGGGGGGGGGTTCCAATCTCCCTACCCTCTCCCTATCCCTGAAATAACAATCTATTTTGTGATTCCAATTAAATAGTATATTTTTTTCCATTTGACTAATTATGTACATATTTTGTTTCTTGTGTTTATATTATGTCTGTATATTTGTCTGCAGAAATTATAACCTTGCCCATAAGTTTTAAGTGGGATGGGCTATACAATTGGCTTCCACATTTTATAGGTTTATTTCTTGTGACAATTAAGACCTTTTATTTGGGTACCATTAATTTTTACCTCTGATCACTTGACCTAGAATACACATTTTTACAAGAAAAATACCCAACTTTAAACTTGGCCTAAATTTTGATCAGTAGGTGCTAGGGCTTTCATGCTTAACATGTGTATTCATTGTGAACTGTCAACAGGTATAAATATGTTTGACCTTGACCGTAGAGTTTGAACCACTTAAAAAATTAACCTTGGCAATTAACTTTTGAAGAGGAAGTACTAGGGATTACTTATTTCACATGTGCATTCCTTATGACAAGACTTTTTTCTGATACCAACAATTGAACCTTTTGACCTTGACCTTTGAGTTTGACATATATTTGAGAAACTTCAACCTTCGCCATAGGCTACCAGACAGGGACATCAGTGTTTCACAAACACATCTTGTCTTCATTATTATTTGGTGGTGTCTCCATATGGCGGAAAAATTCCAATGAGATATGTATTCACAACAAACAAACAAATTACTAAAGAAAATATAAAACATGAATATGTTGGTCATGCATATCTCTGCATGAAAAAAAACCCAGCTTTTCAAGTACTGCAACCATATTGTAACCCTTTCAAAACACTCATTTGAGCTTTTCTGGTTTCCTTGTCATATAACGTCTGTTGTGACATGTTGTCCATCTGTTTGTCTGAAAACTTTTTACATTTTTAACTTTTCTAGAACCACTGGTCCAATTTTACCCATGCAATTCATATAGAAATATGTACATTTGTATGTCAGACTGTTCTTCTGTCTGAATAAAATTAACCTTGGTTATCAGGGTCATATCTACTGAATGAGAAGAGACAAGGCATTCATATTAAACTTATGTACTAGTATTTACCTGTGAGAATGGCATGTTTTTTTTTTTTTTTTTTTTTTTTTACATATGACCTAGAAGTTTGACCTACTTGCAAAAAAATTAAATTGTTATAAATTTATCATTTTGAAAGAGAAAAGTTAGGGCATTCATATTATAATGGATGTATATTATTACCTGTGATAAGATCTTTCCAAATGAATCATGACTTTTACTCTGTGACCTTGACCTTGAAGCCTAACCTACTTTTCAAAAATGTTGCATTTGCTTATAACTTTTGATTGAGATGAGATATGACTCTCACATTTGACATTTGTACATTAATTACTCATAAAAATTCAAGATGTTTCCCAGCTTGCAATGTTTTTTTACTCTTTAACGTTAATGTTTTACATATTTTTCAAGATATTTAACTCTCCTAAAAGATGATTAGGCTTCTGAGTAACAGTAAGGAGGACTTCAGGAAAGACAGGACTTTTTGCACAAAAATGTAATTTTCCACCCCCATTTGACCTCCCAGGGCAATATCAAAATTCCAAAACCTTGCTGCACATCTACATGACACTACCAACCATCTCCCTAAAGATGATTAGGCTACTGTGTAAAATGTAAGAGAATTTCAGGGAAGACGGGGCTTTTTGCATAAAAACGTCATTTTTTTACCCCTATTTGACCCCCCGGGGCAAAATCAAAATTCCAAAACCTTACTGCACATCTACATGAAACCACCAACCATCTCCCAAAAGATGATTAGCCTAATTTGTAAAATGTAAGAGGAGTTCAGGGAAGACGGGGCTTTTTGCATAAAAAACGTCATTTTTCGACCCCCATTTGACCCCCCGGGGCAAAATCAAAATTCCGAAACCTTACTGCACATCTACATGACACCACCAACCATCTCCCAAAAGATGATTAGCCTACTGTGTAAAATGTAAGAGGAGTTCAGGGAAGACGGGGCTTTTTGCATAAAAAACGTCATTTTTCGACCCCCATTTGACCCCCCGGGGCAAAATCAAAATTCCAAAACCGTACTGCTCATCTACATGACACCACCAACCATCTCCCAAAAGATGATTAGCCTACTGTGTTAAATGTTAGAGGAGTTCAGGGAAGACGGGGCTTTTTGCATAAAAAACGTCATTTTTCGACCCCCATTTGACCCCCCGGGGCAATATCAAAATTCCAAAACCTTACTGCACATCTACATGACACCACCAACCATCTCCCAAAAGATGATTAGCCTACTGTGTAAAATGTAAGAGGAGTTCAGGGAAGACGGGGCTTTTTGCATAAAAAACGTCATTTTTTGACCCCCATTTGACCCCCCGGGGCAAAATCAAAATTCCAAAACCTTACTGCACATCTACATGACACCACCAACCATCTCCCAAAAGATGATTAGCCTAATGTGTAAAATGTAAGAGGAGTTCAGGGAAGACGAGGCTTTTTGCATAAAAAACGTCATTTTTCGACCCCCATTTGACCCCCCAAGGCAAAATCAAAATTCCGAAACCTTACTGCACATCTACATGACACCACCAACCATCTCCCAAAAGATGATTAGCCTACTGTGTAAAATGTAAGAGGAGTTTAGGGAAGAAATGTGTGACAGACGGACGGACGGACGGACGGACGGACGGACGGACGGACATGAGTAACAACAATATACCCGAACTTTCTTTAGAAAGTGCGGGTATAATTATATTTCACAATAAAACTTCATCCAATAATGTTTTGTGATGGGATGTTCTCCGTTCTACTCTATGTTTGATTTGTAAGCTTCAAACAAGAATGTAGAAACTCAGGTTTTACGCTATGACTTGAGTTAGTGTTGAGTTGCGTCTATGCTATTAATTAAGAGATGCTCAATCTTAATTTTACAAATGAAATAATATAACCATTGTTGTAAAAGATATAAGATCATATTAAGTTTTGGAGATGGGGGGTCATAAAAGTATAATGGAAGCTGGATGAATCTAGAGTCTGTAGGAAATTACATCATCCCATATCCTCCTCCTCCAAAAAGAACAATTAATAATTGAAAGGTTAATACCGTATTTATTACTTACAGGTAAACATAACCTTCTTTAGACCAGATACTTGTTTATTTCAACTAGTTACATGTATATCTACTGATTATCTAAAATTCTATCTGTATAGATACTTGGATACAATTACAGTGACACAAATCAGTGGCTCCAAATTAAGGGGGATGTCCGACCAAACAACAAAATGTAAACATTTCTTGAAATGGCTAAAATGCATTATATGTTGATCAAATTTTAAGTTTTAAGATACAATAAATATGCATAATTGAATGAATGTTGTGCATATATATCTATACTTTTGCAGAAAAATGCTTTTGTTATGCTTCTTAGATTTGCGCAGCTACAGAATTCAGCAGAGCCTTAAAAATCCAAAAATATGCAAAGTGTGCATTAGTGTTCTTTCTACAATCGTTTGTT